CCCGAGGCTCGGTTGGAGCAGGCTAAAAGACCTCTCCTTACAAGCCTGGCGCGCCATTTTTTCCCTTTCCCAAACTTCCTGTCTCAGCCGAAGCAGCCAATGACAGGCTCCTGGTCTGTCCTTGGCAGCTGGCCGAAGCTCCCAGTCAGCCTTGGCTTACTGCGCGTCCTCGGCAAGGACTTCAAGAGCAAAGTTAGGGAACCATTTGCTCACTCCACTCCAAGACAGTGTCAAAAAAGAACCTGGCATGTCTTCAAGCACTCGGACACACGCCAAAGCTGCCTTGAAATCATTCTTAGTGAATTGAGTCAACGGGTCTCTCAAATAGCTCGGCCCACGCGGAGGCAGGCCTGTGACGACGCGAAGCGTAGGGTATTGATGCGGACAAGTATATTTGATTGTGGTGCAAACATCCAGCACATGAACCAAACTTCCGTCTAGCAGGGCTGTTGCTGAATCAGGTAAATGCTGCCATGCCCACAGTAGCGCGTTCCTCAAGCACTCAGCTTCGTCCAGGGCATCGTCCTCCCCAAAGTGGAGGATCAGCAAACGGCGGGTATCTGCAGTAAAGCGACAAAAGGACTTCAACATTTCTGGATCAGGACCAGGGGGAGCCATTGCCATAGAAAGGGCCAGCTTTGGGCCACTTGCAGCAGCCAGCTTGAGAATCTTCAGGGTTCAGCAGAAACTCCTGCCCAACCGCGCCAATTTCAATGTGGCCTTCGCCTCCACATTGCTCATGGCAAAGGATTTGGCCGAAGCAGCCAATGACCTCTGCAGAAAAGCACCTCACCGAAGCAGCCAAAGTACTCAGCAACCCCCACTTGGGAAGGCAAACCCATTTAGAGCCACATGGCGGCGTCAAGATTTGGAAATAAAATTTTCCAAGGCCCAAATATCTTTTCTTCCCTTCCTCGAGAAAACAGTATTGAAAAATCGAGACAATATTCTAGGAGCGTCAATGAAGGTGAAAAGTTAAGGTTGACATGACTACAAGTTTAACTGCTAAGAAGGGACTGTCCTAGCTAGAGCTGAACCTAGTCATGATTTACACAGTCAGACGCGACCCTACAAATCGAGAAGTCTAAATAACTTTTGAGGTGGTAGCAAAACCTTCAAACAGACAAACTTCAACCCCAATTGAAAAAGCAAAAAAAAAATCTAAAATTCCAAAGAGCAATACTAGACACTGAAACTCTCTTAGCGTTGTTGAAGGTGTTCAATGCGATGTAAAGCAAAAGGACAATGTGTCTGACTCTCAAGCACAACTGAAGAACTGGTATCAGTACTTCTTATCCTATCATTCATTTCAGTGTCTCAGGGCCACACTGAGTGCATACCTGGCATGGCATCCAAGCAGAGATGAGACATTGGTGAAAACATGCGAGCCAAGGACGTATGGAATCACTTTGGACACTTTTCAGGTGTCATTCCATGGTCAAATAAAGCCAAACAAGAAGCTACTAGGTGGAGGCCATCTCTATTAGGTTGGAGGCCAACCTAATACTGCTAGACTAACAACAAGAAGCTACTATTTACCAGATAAAGGCTCAAAACCCGAAGACCAACATGTTCATCAGCAGGGGCAGTAGCGATCGGTGTTCCGCGGTCTTCCACGGTGTTCCACCTGGCCTCCTCACCTCGGCTCTATTTCTGTAACCCAGCATTTAACACATTTCCAGCAGCGACCCAGGAGAGCCTACTGCTCGACCACTGGCTGTAGCAGTCTGAAGGAGCACAACTGGTTTCCTCCGGAGCCAAAGAACTTCTCTGACCAGTCTGGACTAGTGTGGGCTGGCAGGTACGGCAGGGTTTCTTTTGATGTCAAATCCCCTCAAGAAACATCTCTGGCGACTGATCGAGATAGAAGTTTCCCGGCTCTAGTTTGTGTCCCGTTTGTGTCCCGGACCGTGAAATTTAGTATTTCAGGAGGCAATGTATCGTTGCCCTCAATCAATGGCCGACTTGAATTCTCCTTCAACAAATCTAAGAACACCATGACACAACCATGCAATGGACACGAAAGCGTAAAGAAAGCGAGTACAGAATATACCCTTTCAATCCCTTTCACATAAGCCAGAAGCTCAATAGGATTTCCGAAGGTTATATAAGCGCGTAAGGCCTACACGTGTAAGATCGTTCGCACAACGAGTCTCTGTTCTTGTGAGCAGCTTTGCGCTGCAGCCACCAGCACCTGAGCAATGGACTCAATAAGCTGACTCCCGACCTTCCAAATCCACCAATCCCCAACAGGCCAGCAACCAACCAGCAAACCAACCAACCACAACCAATCACAACCAACCACAGCCAACCACAGCCAACCACAACAAACCACAACCAAACCAACCAACCACAACCAATCACAACCAACCACAGCCAACCACAGCCAACGACAACAAACCACAACCAACCACAACCAAACCAACCAACCAACCAACCACAACCAAACCAACCAACCACAACCACAACAACACCAAACCAAACCAAACCAAACCAAACCAAAAACAAACAAACAAACAAACAAACAAACAAACAAACAACGACAACCCCAACCCGCACCACCACCACAACCACAACAACAGCAACGCAAATTGCCAAACATCATAACTGCTGCATCTGACAAAGTTTTAGAGAAAACTGAGTCGGATATCAACGCATCAAGCAAGCGAATGATGTTATTGGTGACGAATGCAAATCATCTAGGTTCCTACCTTTTGGTGTCAACGAGGGAGGTGACTCTAGAATATTCTTGATGCTTTATTTTGTCACAAGCACTCTTTGAGGCATGATTCAACAGCGAACTTTCGTGTGCTTCCATGTTGGCCCATGTCAATGTATATATATATATATATGTCAATGTGTTGGATTCTCATTGCTGGATTTGCTGTATGGAGTCACTGACTGGTCACTGAGGGGTACTTACTTGTACTACAAACCTGCTGAGGTTTGGAGTCTTGGCCCCCTTACAACTGTCAGGTGGAAGAATTCGTTAGTCGAGATCCTGGCAGTGTTGTCTTCAAAGGTATCAAGAGCTCACCAATGGCGTGCTAGAGAATATACACTCGTCGTATATTAGACATTTACATTACATTTACATATATACAGTACATGTCTCAAAGGCACCCAAGGACTAAGGACAATCTGGGTACTTCAAACACAGCCGACATTTAATATCATTTAATAATAAGATGATCTCAAATCCAAACCTGCACAGGAAATGTACAATAGTCAGCATCGCGATGTGGCTCTATGCAAAGCCATGCAAGTCGAGGACTGAACGACACAAAAAAAAAAGCACAGGGCACAAATAGGATTGCACTTGTCATAGCTAAGGGCTGCAAAGGGTGAACTCAAATCGTTCTAGCATTTAATGCCTCACCTCCAAATGAACCTTAGCCCACTGCCAAAATAAACAGGGTTGGCCCCCGTCCATGTTCAGTGTTTTATTTGTTTTGGATGTGTGCTTTGCATTTTATTCCATGTATATGGCATCGGTAGTAGGGTTGGCCGTATCGTTTGCATATGGACAATTAGGGCAACGCCCCTTCTTCTGTAGTCCTGCAGGAATCTTGTCGGTTGCTCAAACAAGCTTTAGAAATCAATTTTGGCAGAACCTACAGTATATACTTCTGGTATCTTCTGGTCATGTGCTGTGCCCCAAGTATCTCAATCATTCTTGTGGCGTTCCAACAATTTCCAACATGTCCTGTCCAAACCATCAACGCAACGGCGACGTCCAGGCGGATCCTCATCCAAGTTAAGATATCGCCTCAAAGGAGAGATTCCCATGAAACATAGTGATTCGTGACCAACCGTTGTTGTTGCACAGACTATGCAGCAAGGGTCTACGTTGAGTCTTCGCAGCTCTTGCACAGGAAATATTATATAATATTGTATAGATCTTGTATTGCAACATGAGCTTAGTTGGGATGTAGCGGAAATGTCGTATAGAAGTGAGGGGTCTACTGACTAGGATGGAAAGGACTGAAAGGGGCACTACCAATGCCTCCAAAAGCCCCCCCCAAAAAAAGAAACAGTTCTATAAGAATCCTAGCAGTGACAGAAGGAGAACGCCCGTCCGACTTGACCCAAAGTGTCGGAAGGATCGGAAGGGTCAGAAGGGTCTGGAAAAGTTGTGATGAAGACCGACTCTGCTATGCTCCTGGTCGGCACCAGGCTGAGGTCCCTGCGTGAGTGGTTCCGCCAGAGGGATGGGCTTCACTTCCCTCCACTAAGCCAGAAACATGCGCGAAAAGCATGCTGGCTATGGAGAGACACTTCCTCAGAGAATCCTGGAAGCTGAGCAGAATCCCTTTGTAGAGAAGAACGCTTTCCACACGCCCAGGTTCTACTAGGTTTCACTTGTCTAAGGGAGGGCATCCTCACGAACAAAGCTCAAATTAGAACACCTGAATCAAAACCTCGACGAGACCCACGGTCTACGGGCCAAATCGTGATAGCAGAAAAGAAAGGCCCCATGTCGGCGGAAATATGAGCCAGGTGCAAAGGTGTGGGCGTTGGCCACTTGCATCAACTTTTGAGTTCGTATGACCTGTATAGCAACAAGTGAGGGTTTAAACACTCCCAATGAGTCCAAGAAAGTATGGGTCTTTGTATCAGAAATGCTCTGCCACCATCTGAATGCTTTCAGGGGCAGCAGAGCTTCTCCAAATCCACTGAGCACTTGTGAAGCACCTCTCAACCTGGACATTATGGACGGAACGCCAAGAAAAACTGTTCAGAGAAAAAGCACGTATCAAAACGCGCTTAGGTTCATAGGCCGGTATTGCACCAGAGCAATACACGACTGCGAGCCCACCGTGAAAAGGAGTATATATTATTTTAAGGAATATATATATATTAGATTATATATATAATTATTGATGGGATTATAGATTATTGTTGTTTAATATATGATTATATATATATATATATTTATTTACGAATATATAGTGTTTAGATTTACTTTAGGAATTTTGATATTGGTGGGATTTTAGGCGTCGGAACTTATTGGTATGGACCCATCACTAGCTTCACTCACCCGATCTCACTCCAAGTCGAAGGCGGCCAGGCGTCTTTTCCCTTCATTGCTACAATGTGCGGTGGAGGGTGAAACCAGCGAACCAACCAACCAAGCGACCGACCCTTGGTCAAGCTCAATCCAACCATAGTTTCCGAGCCACCTGACAACTGTTTGCTGCCATGGCTGCTTGGTTTTCACACACACACGAGACATCAATGACTATGATGCTCTACAAACGAACAACCTAGCATGGTCATGCATTGCTACTAAATGGTGTCCAGGCAACAGGAGCCAGCAGCTGATCCTCAGACAATAAGTAAGCAGACCACACCAACCAACCATGCACAGAAAATGAACAGAAGAGCAGGCACTATTGTCACACATGAAGGCAGCCGAAGACCATGCGAATCTTCGCTGGCCTGAGCTGCCCCACCTATTTGCTCCTATGCCATTCCTCTCAGGCTAGGTCAGGAAGATGTCTTCCAGACACAGGCCTTGCTGTATGCTCAGTCTCCCCAATTCCATCTCTAATCCAAGTAAAGGTAGCACCTACTTCTTTGCTTCCTCGTGTCATGCACAGTCGAAAAATCGATAAAATTAGCACCTCCTCTTGCGACTAGTTTGAAGGAGTACGCTTTCACTGCCCACTCGAGAGAACCAACTGACACCAAGATTCTCAGTACACGTACGACCTACACTGCAGCTCTAGGGCTCTCACGGTGATCAATTTCTCGTCGTAATTGTCATCCTTTTGCCGGCTGTCCAGGTATGGGTACTCTAATTCAATTAAGGCCAACCAAAGCGCTGCATTCAGGGTGGGGTTGAAAAGCTTCTCTGCGGCTCCAATCATGTCTGCAAACGTAGCATGAAAGGGAAGTCCTTGGCCTTGGCCCTCCAAGAATGGAGAAACGCTTTCGGATGCTTTGGGACATGAAACAACTAGAATGGAAGATACGTGAGAATCGTGAGAACGGCACCTTGCATGAAATACCAGATTGAGAATTGAACTGCACCCGGAACGGCGGATTTGTGAAGTTTGTGAAGGGGAGACCATCAACTCTCCGGATACGAGCTGGAGTCAAAGCCAAAACCACTCAGTGTAGAACTGAAACTAGAAGACTTCGTGAGTAGCTGTCCCGTGGCCTGTAGACAGTTTTTCTAATTTTGATGGAATGAGTGGTTCAGTTTGTACATGGAAACTACGGAACCATGTTGTTCAACCCCTCTGTGCAGGCACGTGTTTGAGTTGGTTTGTATTGTGCAGCTCTTTTCCTAAAATTATCAAAATCAAATGGTCCATGCATGGATCTATCATGACTCGTAACGATCTGTCGGGCTTCTGTAGCGTCTGACAACACTGACGAGTAGCTGCTAACTGTCATCTTCTCGATGTTCATGCTGTAAGCAGTGCTGTAAGCTTGGGAACACACAAACTCCACTGCCCCAGAATGCCCCAAAGGACTCAACTGAGCTCCCAGCCAAGAAGATTGCCAAAGCACTGCCCAGCAACCCGAAGATCAGAAGTGAAATCAAGGCCTGGTGGAAGCCACAGGGTTTCTTGCAATCTCAGTGCTGACATGTGCAAACATCCAATGTCCAATGGGCTTGGATTAAATCTTTTTGGGGACAGGAATGCGGAATACAATCTAGAAAACTTCACCTGACAACAAAAGGCACAATCAGGACACCCTGCAATCCGTAGGAAGAACGACTCTCGAACCCGATCCAGAAGATGTGACCTTGGCAGGTCTGCAAAAGAATGGAAATCAGGGAGACTACCCACGAATGACTCTGTTTTGTTTGTTTCGACTAAAACTTTTGCTGTGTGGGGTGTACAGGTATGTTCCCACGCATGAGTGTCACACAACTGGGAGGTTAAGTTCCCAGATCAGGCACAAAACATTACATTACGTTGCGTCTGGCCACTGAAAATGATGACACCTTCATATCTCGCCAAAGCCTGTGATCAAACACTTGCAGAAACCGCTGTCGAATCATTCACTGATGCGTGTCTCCACTGGCACCTTCGCAGAAACAGACCCCACGCAGCCAGGTTCCACGCCCAACCAGGAACGGCACTACTGCCACGAAAACGCCTGGGGTCAAGCTGGCCGCTTTGGAACTACAAGCGTTCCTGGTATAAGGCACAGCAAACAAATGCCAAAAGTCCAATGAATATCAATGAGATGCGTCTTAGAGTGCCCAAGCACACTAAAAGACAAAAAACATCTCTACAAAACGGAATTGACAAAACTGAGACACATCTCAATGTATCTTGGCAGGGCCTCAACATCTGTTTGAAAGAAATGTTTACAGTTTATACATGTGTTTATTGGCATGTCCGCACGGCAAATCTTGTTGATTTCATTTCACATTGGACCTTGTTTTGGCTTCATTGTGTGCATGTTATTTTGCCATTGTTAAGCCGTTCGGGTGGGACTGGCCTTCCAAACTTGAAGTAAACGGATACTTTGCAAGTGCATACTACCACAAGAGCGTGCAGAAGAGCCTTGGAGTATATAAACTAAATTATTGGCCTCCTGAACCCCACCACGTGACTGCTGTGTTTCATCAGTCCAAAGCCGAAAGCCGAAATCTGGCCCGGCCCGCCAGATTTGTCAGTCAATCGATACAAACAAAGCCAAAATACTCCTGTAGGTGTGAATCAAATACCACACGCAGCAAAAAGGCGGTCCTACCATCGGTGCTCAAAGACTGCATTTACTTGATGTGTTTCCACTCCGCCGCAATTTCAATCCAGGACATTATCCGATTATCATTATCGGCGCATCATGTTGAAATGCACGCTTTCATACCCACAGCTTAACAGATTGGGTCCGAATGCACAGACCGGGGTTCAAACAGTCTTTGAAAACGCTTGTCAAAACCGGGCATCCCCATTAACAGTGGCTGGTGATGGTGTGTAATTTTTTAAAACAATAATTATGGCAATTATGGCGGTTAACAACTTGACCGTTCATCGACCAGTACGGGTAATGGGGCATACCCAATGTCAAGCCACCGTCGCTTCTCCTTAACAAATCCGGCTGCAGAAACCCCAGAGGTGGCCCCACAAAAACACCACACGACATTCTAGTAATGCACCCGATCTCCTGGGTCCAAACTAGGCGATTTGTTGCTTCATGTTGTTTCTAAACATTCTGTGGGTGCTTTGGGGGGTGCTGCGGCTAAGTACCGTCAAAACATTGCTGACCCACCGTGTGGTAGAGTTTCAAGAGGTCTGATGTTCTTTGCTCTAAGAACTGTTTCTGCCTGCGTTCGCTGCGCGACACCCTGCCCGGGCAAGGTCCAAATCCCACAGAATGCGGATGGCCGTCTGCACCTTGAAGCCGGTGCCCTTGAAACCGCCCACCCCCACCCCCACCCCCACCCCCACCCCCAACCCCACCCACCCACCACCACCACCCCCCTCCGGCGGTGGCGGCGGCGGCAGCGGCAACAACAGCAACAGCAACAGCAACAACAACACCAACAGCAACCACCACCACCACCACCACCACAACCACAACCACAACCACAAGCACAAGCACAAGCACAAGGACGACGACGACGACGACAATGACGACGACGACGACCACCACCACCACCACCACAGCAACAGCAACAGCAACAGACAACAACAACCTTGCCAACAACAGTAGGCTACCTCGTCTATCATGGGCAATTACGCGTTCTTTTGCACCAAGGTCTACTGACAGGGAGACCGTGCAGCTACATATTATGGCAAGAGTTATGCAAATACTAGGGATGGCACAATTCTCACAAGACATATTGCACAATGTCACACAGTTGCACCTGTAGACATTGCACCATTGATGATGTTCAGCTTACCCAGGTCGCTGAGGCAAAGGGAAGTCAGCAAGACCTTTCAATGTCTGTTCGGTGGTCTTCACAGGCTTCCAGTGCCGATTGTTGGTCAAAGCTGCTGACCAAACCACTTGTTGTTACGGTCAAGGTCCCACAACCAAACCTGGTGCCAAGTTCCAAGGCCAAAATCCTTTCAGTCAATGCCTGTCCAACAGCCCAGATCATGCCAAAATCATCCCAAATGAATGTCCCGTTCTGTCTTCTTTCTACCGCTCTGTTCCTTCTCCAACTAGTGACTAGTGCAAAACAAGCCTGAGAAGAATACTTTGAATAGATGCTTTTGCTCAAACAAATCACGCTGGCCAGCAGGGGCTCGCGCTCCCGCCACAATAGCACCTTGCAACGTGTCAGTATCATCAAGAAGACTATCAAGAAGCCCTTTGAACAAATTTCCATGAAGACCGCAAACCCATTCTTGTTGTACCAATTGTGCATCATCGCATCTGGTTAGATTTGCATGACTTTGGCTTGGTCTCTTGACGATGAGTCATCACTGGAGCGTCCGCATAGCTGAGTTACATTGTACAAAGTACAAACAAAATCCCATGCAAAGCAAAGCAAGTCGTCAAATTCCGCACAAATGATTCAAAAGAGCTTAACATTAGAAATCAATCCGAATCCGAACCTGCACTGCTCGTACTTAGTTACTATCCCTACCAGTTAGAACAGCGTCTGACATCAAAGAACCTCAGAAAACCGCAAATTCGGAGAATATAGAACGTTCTGCTCCACCAAGTGTTCGTAAAGGATCCGCCGAATACAATCGTCATAGGGATAAAAGGGCAAACATTCAGACTGATGCGACCATCGTACTTGGATTGGCAAAACTGGCCTGTGCCAACGTGTACATTTCTTTCACCTCCATAGCCTGGCCGGGTCCAAAGGGACCCACAGAAGCTAAGCAAACCTCCAGTTCAAAGCTTGCAAGACTCAACACATTCTGGGCAAGAATGGCCTCCAGCATCTAAGCATCTATGTTCAAAACACTGCTTCAAGGCACACATTGACAAGCTATAAAGGATATATGGGGAACTGCTTTAGGGGCATCTTTTGTTTCCAGTCAATCATTAACGGGAGCTACAGTAGTATGTAAGACTGTGTGTAGCCCAATTTTGGCTGTCTCTTGTGAGGCTCTCATTAACTTCGTCGTGAATGTTATGGGGGGGTCCTCATCAGATCCCCCTGAAACATCCTTTTGTGTCTCTTGTCAGCGTTTTGGGCTGAACAAGTTTATATAGTTTGTCCTACTAGCACTGCCCAAGCGTCTTCCGGAGAGGACAAAACAAGGTGCTCACTTCTCGTCAATCGGCTCCAACTTCGGCCTGGAGGGTGGAAGGTCGCGATCATAGACTTCAAGATCAGAGGGTACACCTGATGCCGAAAGCCGGGTGTTCGAAGTGTATCACAGGTTTCAAACAGTCTGGTTGGAAAAGCAAACTGGGTCCGGTTGATTGTTTGAGAAGTTTCTTTGGGTCGGCCATCGTTTGCGATCTTTCGAAGGAGCAAACAAGCAAAACCAAATCATAGATGTGTGAGTCTCTGAGTGTATAGCGGGCATGCACCATCACCCATTTGTCTTCAATCTTTGATCATATGGGTATGGTATGCTATATCCAGAATCCTTCAAGCTTCCGGCATGTTGGCACCGCGCACTCAGCGGGTTTTCCGGCTTTCATAGCTCAGCCATGCAGGACACACAAATTACAGACCATACAAATTACAGCCATTGCAGTAGTACAAATCAAGAGTAGACACCTGATCACAGCGCCAAACATCCACCTGACCGAGCTGTTCTATGGCCACCTTGGTACGGCCCTGTGCATGATGCTGTGCTGAGCTCCCAAGGCTCGGACACCCATCACGCTGGCCTGGTTCGGTGGCTTGAGGGCTCGATTTGAAGTGCCTTCATCTGCCTGTCTGTTGAGTGGGAAGTTTTCCTGATGAAAAAACAAGGTGACTACTGCTCCTTGAGACACCCTACTTGGCTCTACCCTATATATATATATATATGTGTATACTATATGCTATATACTATCTCCAAAACATCCATCAAGCTGAAGTCCAGCGTGACTGGGTGCCAAAACCCCTGCAAAGAGTCGGGCCAAGTTACCAGAGAAACCTCAGTTGCTCCAGGCCAAGGTGGATCATAGAGTGCCGCTGTATTGATTCATATGTTAAAAGGTGCACAACACATCACACCACATATGCACTCCGTCAGTCAATCATACAAACAATTTGTTTCCTATTTCCGGACCAACATGGAAACCAGGGAAGCATTTGCTCTGTGAAGCCAACACCAACCTAGAAGCCACGTGGAGAGTGCAGTATTGTTTACAGAGTTTATGTACTCAGAAGTCAAAAAGATCCCAAGAGCGCAAAAAGCTGCATGCAGGCTTTTTCGAATGCGCTTTGGTTGATGCTGGGGTCCTCCCCCAGACCCTGTATCATTTAGTCTGTTTCAAACTGCCCTGGACTTCGCCAGGGGGACAAGGGTGTGTCAGGCAGTAGGATTCGCCCGTCGCTGCCAAAACACCCGAATGTCCCCTGGTCTCCCAGGGCCAACAGGCACGTGTCGAGGTGCCAGGGGACAGGGTCGGGAGGACAGCCCACCGGATCCGGTCACGGGATCTTGGGTGGGCAACTAGGAAAAACCCGTTGCGGACAAAAGTTTTGCAAAAGGAAAAAAGAAGAGAGTCTCCGGTGCCGGTAGCCGGCGATCTAAGGAGAATCCTTCAAAGTCCGGATGAGTCAATTCATCCGCCCAGGTGTTGTACTCCCTGGGGATGTGATTGGGAGCAATGCTACAGCCCTCACAATGGAGGAAGAGAACCAATTCCATTAGCAGTGCCGCCGAGTAAGGTTTCTTGGCCGAGAGGTTGAGCAGGCTGAAGATGTTCACTGCCCACCGGGAGACGAACTCTTCCCGGCAGCTGGCCCTGTTGGGCCACCAGGTGCTTGCAAAGAAGTAGCGTGCCCAGGAGTTCCAGGGCAGCAATGCGTTTCTGAGGGTTGCCATGCTTGAATGCCCATGGATGGGCATCTGCTGTAATGGCATAGTCAGTGGAACCATAGGACCTTGTCCTTGCCCCCAACATAGGCGTCGCCTGTCTTCGATGCACTAGCATCACTGCATCCCCACCAAGGCGACTTTGGCAGGAAGGGTGAGTACTGCTCAAAGGGGTGCGTGAAGAGCTCCTTCAGGAGGGCAGCCAACATGCGGACCACCTTGGGTGGATGGCCCATTGTTCTGACTGCCATCTTCCAAGCCCAAAGCGGTTGGAGCAAAGACTTGGTCAAGGGGCAGCACTGTGGCCCACTGGATCCGGCCCATGGCCTTCTCAATGGCCTTGGCTGACATGGGGGATCCATTGGCGAGCTCCTCCAGGAGCTCCATGACCTTGATGTGCTTGGGGGCCGCCATCTGGACTCGAGGTATGGTTGGGTGGATCACGAACCCAAGCCAGGTGTTGATCTCTGCCAAGTGAGTCTTCTTCCAGCTAAGGGGCGTTCCCAAAGCCACCAGTGTGCCCAAGAGCGCCGCGGTGAATTGCGGTCCCGTGGGCAGGCGAAGGAGCCAGCAGAAATCATCGACGAAGACAAAGCCCCAGTCGATCTGTGGGAAAAGGTAATAGAGGATCCGCAGGAGCAAGGCCGCCATTCTGCCCCAGTAGAGCTGCGCACTTGCCATGCCGTAGGTGCCCACTTTGTTGACCCACCATTCGTTGTCCAACTGTGCTACCTGGAATCGCCAGTCCTGGGGCAGGACCTTGATTCGTCGGTGGGCCTTAGTTACATCAGCCTTCAGCAGGATCCATTGGCTGTCCTTAGCGGGCCACTCCCAGGTTGGGGTTGGGTCATCCAGGCCCTCTGCCCACTCAGGGCCAAAGGCTCCTGGGCTAGGTGGGGGCGTGTGCCGGCCTCGGTATGTCTGGCGGCATGGAGCCAGTGGATTGCGTGGACACAGTCCAGAACTGTGGGTGCCGTGGTCCGCTCCTTAGTGTTTTGTTGGATCTTGGCATTTGCTCCTCCAACCGATCGTAGGTGGTGCGGACCTTATCCCCTTCATCAATTCCCGCCAAGGGGCGTGGGCAGAGGTCTGTCGGGTTACATCCACAGAGTTCAGCCGCTTGTTGTTGGGACAGCGGGCCGACTGTCATGCCCATTGGGACTTCCTCTGCAAAGGTGGCCCGAATTTCTCTGGAGAAGTCTGCTGCCGATGGGTAATTGTGGTGTCCCTTGGGGTCATCCAGTGGAGCTTCCACTGCGTCTTCTCCCGCAAGCTCACTCTTGAGAGGCCACACTCCCGGTGAAGGGAGGGTGGGATCCGAAACCCCCAGAGGAACGCCTGTAGCGAGAATCTGAGGGTACTGCCAGTCTGGGTCCCCGGCTGTGTTGGCTAGTTGCGAGATCAGATCCAAGTAGAAGGGTTGCCCGTCTGGTGTAGTGTGTTGGTGGCCGGGGTGGAGGACCTGCCGGATGTCTTCCAGCAGTGGGTCCGGATATGGGTGTTGTTTGGACCCGCACGTAATCGACCACATGACTTGGTCACTGAATGGAGTGGTCAGTGCCAGGATCTTGGCTCCTACGCGGGCCAGTGTGGATGCCGGTCGTGCCCATGGAGCCATCCGGCCCCAGGAGGGTTTGCCTCCCCCGTCCCGTAGTGGTCTGGTCTTGAAGGCCACCTGGAGGCGCATCAGGGGATCGTGGAGCGAGAGATCCTCTGAGATTGGATCATACTTGGGGCAGTGTGCCAGGTATCCCCCGCCGTAGATTGGGGGGAGGCCGCGCTGGCCGCGGTTTGGGTAAGGCCTGCGATAGCCCTGGCTGCTTTGCTGGCGCGGGATGGGTTTGTGCCCCGAGTGCCCTCCTCCCTGGACCTTTTGGAAGAAGGGTATTGGTCCGTGTCCCCGGTGTTTGGGTTGGTTCTCCGCTTCAGGGTCCATACCAGTCGCCGCAGGGCCAGGGGCACCTGGGGTGGACCGGACGGGAGCAGCTCGTCGCCAGACTGGCATGCCCGCCTCGTAGAACAGGGTCCAGGTCTCGTCCCCCACCTCCATGATGGACGTAGGTCGCTGGTACTCGACGGCTTGGTCATGCTTGCAAGTCCAGCACCGGGAGGCATTATCCGGCCAGGGCGTCATGCATTTGCCGCACATGGAGTGGAAGGGCATGTCACCTGCAGGTAGGTGGAGGCCTTTCTGGTCAGTCAGGCCGGACTTGTCGGTGGTCTTCTGGTACCGTTGGGTCCAAATCTTCTCCTGCATGGCCAGAGCCCGCAGGGGGATGTACTGCTCGATGATGCGGGTGACCACCGGTGTGGAAAGAGGGTAGCCTGTGAACTGGTCAAAGAGCTGAACCATCTCCTTCTCTGCGCACGAGGTGAGGAGCCCCGCCAGGTGGCCCGGAATGGCCGGAAAGGAGTCCGGGAACATCACAAACCGGACGTGGTTCTCTGGTTCCCTCACCGGTAGGAACCTGATTGGCATGGGGACCGCGCCCAGGGTAGCTGCAGAAGCCCTTGTAAAACCCGGCAAGGTAGGCGTCTTCGACGTGGGCTCCTCCATGCTCGGTCGCGGAGGCTCCGGTGCCTGGGCCTTTGCCGGGGGCGTAGAAGGCAAAGAAGCCGCCGCCATGGCATCTACCGGATCACTAAAATACCCTGCCGGTGCAGGGGGCGTGAAACCTAAGCCCGCTCGCTCAGTGATGTCCTCTTCCATCTGGTCGGCAGGTGCCGCTGGGCGTGGCTCCGCCGCAACAGGCCAAGCCAAAGGTGGTTCCGCCAGGGTCGCCAAAAGTGTGGGCTGGGCCGCCGCCGCCGATGGTGTAGTAGGGCTCGTCGTCAAGGCCGCCGCTGCCGTAGGTGCCACCCCCTCCACCTCTGGGCCAGAGGCACCAGGAGCAGAGGGGGGTTGGCCAGCGCCGCCATCAGCCGGGTCCTCTAAGCCCAGGAGGTCCACACCGATGTCCGCATCTTCACGTTCCGCAATCTGGACCTTGAGTGCTTCCAGGTGGCGCTCCAACTCCCGGATCTGCGCCTGAGCATCCAGCTCAGAAACCAAAACGGGCTGTCCAAAAATGGCGAGGCCCCTCGCTCCTTCCGCCTCCGCATGACGGAGGGCTGCAGACGCAGCATCAGCTGCCTGATCCAAACTCTCCATGCCCGGGCTACTGATTGTAGTCCCATCCTCAACGTCTGGTTGGGCATCTCGCACTGACTCAATCATGACATACTCCGGTTCCATTGGGTGCGCCATTGCGTCGTCGTCAACAAGAACCAATGTACTAAGGAGTTTTCTTCCAACCTTCAGGTGCAATCCTGTGGATGATTGCCACCAGCTTGAGCCAAAATGTCCTGGTGGGACATTTTGTGAACTTCAGTGAACATAAAACTTGCATCCGCAAGCTACCTGCAAGTGTGAATTTCTTCTCATGTCCACCCGTTCGCAGTGGCTGCCAGTTTCCATGTTTGCGCGAGCTCAAAATCCTCTCAATTTGATTAACTTCTATGTTTGCGGTGGGTCCTGTGCTGTGCTGCTTTGTGTGCCAAAATCACTGCATGGATTGCTGTTCTTAACCCGCGGCTGTTAAAGATTGTTGGAGGGAGAGGAAGTCCCCAAAACATGTTTTTACTTCGAGAGATCCCCACCTTGAAAGGTGATTGGGAAAAAGTCAGGTGATCATGCAAGTTCCTTTTCTTCAGCCTGGCAATATCTTCTGGCATTCTACCTAGCACATCTTTTGACATCAGTTTGGCACTCTGTCTGGCATATCTTTTGGCGCTCTCTATGACTCTATGGTGTGCAGGTCCACGCGTGCCGAGATTGAGCTGGCACTGTGGATGGTGTGCTGGCACTCGCTGTGAAATGACATGGCAGGAGGAGGGCAAAGGATGACGGAGAGGATGGCGGAGAAGATGGCAGAGAGGACGGAGTAGCACCTTTGCTAAAGTATATTTAAGACTAAAAATCCTCAACTGGCAGTGGCAGGTGCGGAAATACTCTAATTTCAAAAGAACACAAATATATGTTCTATTGGGGGCCTCACTACTTCTCTGTGTGCGGCCTAATACACTTTGACTCGATCATTCTTGACATCCTGCGCAAACTAGCTGGACATTCGGTGACCCGACTGGCTGGCAGTGAAAGCAGTACATTGGACTTCACCGCAGGACCTCACTCGGCAGCAAAAACTATCAAAAAACTCACAATCCGTCACTTGACTGGACAACAAAACAGGATGTGAAAAAGGGGTAAAGGCTGTCCATCGTTTGTCTTATATCAACTGATTCTCTTGAGTCTTCTCCTTTGGCTGTTTAGCAGCATGTTTGAGATGCTTCTGATCTGAAAGGTTGGCCATGCGATGGTGAACAATATATACTACAGTACAGTACTGCCCCATGATGTTGGATCCAGACTTTATACTGAACATCTCTCATCTGTCTTACAAGCTGACACTCACAGTCCTTAAGCATGAGGGACACAGTCAATTCAGGCATAGGCACGAATGGACATTGAACGTTGTTCTGCTTCATCTTCCATTTGTTGATCCCACAATATCCCATGGCCCATAATTAGTCAACTAGTAACTAGTAGCACTTGTATGGTCTGTAGTCAAAACCAAAGACCTGCTCAGTCGGTCCCGTCGGTCAGTGGCAAACAAAAGGCCAAAAATCATGTAGCCCAGCACCGCGAAACTGGCACCTGGCAACTTTCCCAAGTGGCTCGCGGCTTGGTCCGGCTTGGTGGCTTACAACTCAAATTACAAACCACCGCGAGTTGTCTTCCCTGTCATAGTCCAGCACCCCTAAATAAGCTAGATACTCTACTACCTTCATGAGATATAGCTTTTGAGGCACGGGCCCAAGGTCATTTCTCATGTGGAGGCACCCTCCAACCAGGCCAGGCTATCAAATGACAAAAAGTATCGTGAAGCTGCAGCCAACCACGTTGGCAAAGCGTCCTGACAAATCAGCTGGTGCTATCCTGTTTCACCAGGATTGTTTTTGTGCCAGGGCCAAGGACATTATATATAAATTATCACACTGTGACATACCCATGTGGATGGCAAAGTAAAGTCAGCTTTTGAGGTGGAAAGTAAATGCAACAAAATGCAAGAACATCTGCATGGATGCTTGTATTTGCAAGGTTTTTCAGGGGCACGCTCAATTTCGCTCAAGATCCTTTCGAACAGGTCGCTCTGGAAATCCAAATCTACAAACAAATTAAGTGGCAATGCGCGTAGTTTGGCAGCGTTGGACACCAATCTCCTGGAGACCTGTCTTTCATCTCTCCATACATCGGCAGGACACACCTTGGTGGACCGGAAATCAATGCTTGAACAACCCAGCTTCTCGAGACATCAGAGCAACCCAGCTACCGCATCAAGATTCTATAGAAATGCCAACCTCTTACTCTTGAATCACGGGTAAACTATGGAAAATCCTGCTCAAACTTTCTCAAAATGTGGCTTTTGCCACCGTAATTCAGGACTTGAACCTCCGCCCATGCACCGAAACCGCAAAGGAAGGACCGTGTCGCTTCAGCTGGGAAACGGCGACCCTACAAGTAATGTCCATTGGGAGTCCAAACTGCTGCAACAGCCCACATGTGTTGATTGCACGCACCAAGACAAGGTGGACTTCCAGACTCAAAAGGATTGACTTTGAGGTAAAATGTTAAATATCCAAGCAATGCGATGGACTGACTTTGTGGGACCTATTTGATTGCTGCTTGTCTTTTTGCAAGGCATGTGCGAGGATGAGTTCAACATGTATGAGCAACATTTTGGTTGGGTCATGCTAAATGCTTCCACAAGAGAAGCCGCACAAACTTAATTGTTCATTTTCCTCGAGAAAACAACTTTAACAAAGGTCACGGTATGTCATTCCACAGGTCTCTTGATCTCTGGCGCAAGTGCTATTTCCTGCATAGATCCAGTGGCATACCCGATCCGGGCAGACCCCGCATCTGAAGGATCACCGTCTGCATCATGCTGGCGACCATGGAGACCTCGCAGCTGGTCAACCTTAAGGATTAGGTTGGAGGCCATCGCTAGTAGGTTCTCCTTTATTAAGTGATTTTTTTATTTTTGATTTGAAGCTTTCAAGTTTTCACCGTGCATTGTTGATCGTCGAGGGCACAACAACTACCAAAGCTGCAACCCCTCATGTTTGTCGTCGAAAGCCTGGCTGTGGACTTTGCATGGACAAAGTTTCAATATGCGTGATGCATCGGACTGTCCATGCTTTTGGAACCGGTCGGATGCATCACATCTTGGTCCAACTGGACAGTGATGGCTTGCTTGGTCGCCCCAAGGCTCAACTCGCTTGCTTGGGCCTCCTGCTGTCCCCCAGGAGACTCCGGCCAAGCAAATCTTCGGGAGTTCCGAAGATGTCTGCGGCCGGGGAAACGCTGAGTATTTCATTGGTTTCCATGGAAGTTCCATCACAAGTACCCGCATCACCCCGACAAGCACGGCATTTAAGGGTTCCCGAACACGCGACAAAATGCTGAATGATTCCTTTCTCAAAGTCCCATTGTGGTCTCAAGCATGTCGACGGGCAACGGAAATGGGTCGCATTATCCGGAACGATCATGTTCACGAGTAGGCGCTCCAATGCCCGTGTTTTTTTACTTCTGTACAAGCTTGTCTTTGGTCGGGCCCATCTGTTCT